AGGTCTGATATTTGCCTGATGGGATAATCTTTGTAAGTACCTTGATGTTTCTCTCTTGACAATTTTATTATTAGTATTTTTTCTGTGGTTTTGGTCAATCTGGCTATGAAGTGTCTTGGAAAAGATTTTCTTGGGTTGATTCTATTTGGGGTCCTTTGTATTTCTTGTGTCTGGATATTCGAATATGTCTCTAGATTTGGAAAGTATTCTTCCAGAATGTCATGGAATAGATTATTAATGCCCTTACTATTTTGTTCACCTTCTGGGATACCAATTATCCAGATGTTTGGGTACTTATAGCTAGCTATTATTTCTCATATGTTGCCCTCATTTTTCTTAATTATTTTCTGTCTTTTTGGTAATTTTTCCAAGGTCAGAGGTTTTGTCTTCTACTCCAAAATTCTATCTTCTGCATAATCTCATCTCCTTTTTATTGTTGTTGTTTTTAGGGAGATTTTTTGCTATACAGATTTTGCACTTGCCGGAAAGACTGAGAGAAAGAAAATGAGAAATCACCCCCCCCAGGGGGGATTACAATGCTGCAACACCTTCTCTTTCATTCTCCTCTCAGGATTTTGAGGACATAAGCACATGCACCCAGTATGTCTTAAAAAGGCAGGTCTAGGACTTGAACCATGATTGACTACATGAGAGTTTAGTGATGAAACTATTATGCCAACTGCTGAGCCCCTCTATTCTGTATCTCATACTTTCAATAGAAGTTTTGATTTCCTGTATTACTGCCTTCATCACTAACAATTCAACTTGATTAATTTTTATGATGCCTGTTTCTTCTTTGAAATTATGGAATCATTTCCTCATCTCCTGACTCTTCTGAAGTTCATTGTCTCTTTTCTGTTGCATATCATTTAGTTTTTTCACTATAAATATTCTGAAAATTTTATATGACATTTCTATGAGTTCCATTGTATTGTCTGTGGATGATGAGAAACTGATGTTTTTCCCTTGGGGGAGAGGTATATTTTGGTTTCTTATATTTCTTGTGCCTCTGCAATGGTTTCTGGTCATCTGGTGAATTATACATTTTTTTCTTAAATTCCTTGAGTTACTTCTGAATGTTTAAAGGTGTGAGAGGAGGAGATTGGTGATCTCTCTGCTTTGTTGCCTCCCTGGTGCTCACCAGCAATCTGCACTATTATTTCTGGACCTGGATAATTCAAAACTCTCCCAATTACTAGAGAACAGGTGCACCTGGGGCTGAGCTGCTGAGCTTAAATTGAGGAAGACAGAAGGGGTGTATTCTGCACACTTCATGAAATGCTGAAATTTGAAAATTCAGAAGCATGTGGCAGAGGATGATTTATAATCTCTGCAGTTTAGTCACCCCACCACTCACTGTACAGCAGAGCCATTGCTTCATTGGAAGTTGAATGGGGAAAGAGGGATTATCCAAGTCCAAATTCTTTAAAAGACCAGGTTAAAATTTAAGAGTTTTAAATTTTTGTCATAATTTCTTTTATAATGTCACATGGCAATCATTCTTACAATAAAACAAAAACAAAAACAAACAAACCAAAAAACCCTCCCCCTCCAAAATAGGGCCAGCTCTGTTGACATGTAATTAGGCAGCTGGATCCCATATGGCCTACCAAATAGAATGGTCCCAAGCCAGAGTCTTGAGAAATATGCTGGGCATGTGTGCATGCATGCACAAAATTCTGAAAGGAAGGAGAGATGAATTAGTAGGGATTGTGACATGGACATTCCTCATGGAGTTTACTTTATGGAGATTACTTTCCTCCTTCTCTATTTGCCTCTCTTTCTTTCTGATAAGTTCATGTTCTCTCTACCAATTTTTTTAAAAAAGGAAATAAAAATGCCTGTGTTCTCTTCTAGAAAGCTTTATTGTAGTATACTTGATATTTTAAAAGTTGACCATATTTAATAGCTATATGAAGATGAATTTGGACATATGCACATATTTGTACTTTCATCACCACTATTAAGAAACTAAATCATAGCGGGCAGGGACCATGGTGGTTAAGGGTGCTGGACTCCCACACAGCCAACTGTGGTTTGAGTTCTGGCTTGATTTCTCACTTTCTCTCTCTTTCGCTCTTTCTGTCCCTCTTTGGTCAAAATAAAATAAATAATTAAAATAAAGTTAAATAAATAATTTTTTTTTTAAAAGTTCCAATGAAAAGGTCTGATATTTGCCTGATGGGATAATCTTTGTAAGTACCTTGATGTTTCTCTCTTGACAATTTTATTATTAATATTTTTTCTGTGGTTTTGGTCAATCTGGCTATGAAGTGTCTTGGAAAAGATTTTCTTGGGTTGATTCTATTTGGGGTCCTTTGTATTTCTTGTGTCTGGATATTTGAATATGTCTCTAGATTTGGAAAGTCTTCTTCCAGAATGTCATGGGATAGATTATTAATGCCCTTACTATTTTGTTCACCTTCTGGGATACCAATTGTCCAGATGTTTGGGTACTTATAGCTATCTATTATTTCTCATATGTTGCCCTCATTTTTCTTAATTATTTTCTGTCTTTTTGGTAATTTTTCCAAGGTCAGAGGTTTTGTCTTCTACTCCAAAATTCTATCTTCTGCATAATCTCATCTCCTTTTTATTGTTGTTGTTTTTAGGGAGATTTTTTGCTATACAGATTTTGCACTTGCCGGAAAGACTGAGAGAAAGAAAATGAGAAATCACCCCCCCCAGGGGGGATTACAATGCTGCAACACCTTCTCTTTCATTCTCCTCTCAGGATTTTGAGGACATAAGCACATGCACCCAGTATGTCTTAAAAAGGCAGGTCTAGGACTTGAACCATGATTGACTACATGAGAGTTTAGTGATGAAACTATTATGCCAACTGCTGAGTCCCTCTATTCTGCATCTCATACTTTCAATAGAAGTTTTGATTTCCTGTATTACTGCCTTCATCACTAACAATTCAACTTGATTAATTTTTATGATGCCTGTTTCTTCTTTGAAATTATGGAATCATTTCCTCATCTCCTGACTCTTCTGAAGTTCATTGTCTCTTTTCTGTTGCATATCATTTAGTTTTTTCACTATAAATATTCTGAAAATTTTATGACATTTCTATGAGTTCCGTTGTATTGTCTGTGGATGATGAGAAACTGATGTTTTTCCCTTGGGGGAGAGGTATATTTTGGTTTCTTATATTTCTTGTGCCTCTGCAATGGTTTCTGGTCATCTGGTGAATTATACATTTTTTTCTTAAATTCCTTTTTCACTATAAATATTCTGAAAATTTTATGACATTTCTATGAGTTCCGTTGTATTGTCTGTGGATGATGAGAAACTGATGTTTTTCCCTTGGGGGAGAGGTATATTTTGGTTTCTTATATTTCTTGTGCCTCTGCAATGGTTTCTGGTCATCTGGTGAATTATACATTTTTTTCTTAAATTCCTTGAGTTACTTCTGAATGTTTAAAGGTGTGAGAGGAGGAGATTGGTGATCTCTCTGCTTTGTTGCCTCCCTGGTGCTCACCAGCAATCTGCACTATTATTTCTGGACCTGGATAATTCAAAACTCTCCCAATTACTAGAGAACAGGTGCACCTGGGGCTGAGCTGCTGAGCTTAAATTGAGGAAGACAGAAGGGGTGTATTCTGCACACTCCATGAAATGCTGAAATTTGAAAATTCAGAAGCATGTGGCAGAGGATGATTTATAATCTCTGCAGCTTAGTCACCCCACCACTCACTGTACAGTAGAGCCATTGCTTCGTTGGAAGTTGAATGAGGAAAGAGGGATTATCCAAGTCCAAATTCTTTAAAAGACCAGTTTAAAATTTAAGAGTTTTAAATTTTTGTTTTGTCATAATTTCTTTTATAATGTCACATGGCAATCATTCTTACAATAAAACAAAAACAAAAACAAACAAACCAAAAAACCCTCCCCCTCCAAAATAGGGCCAGCTCTGTTGACATGTAATTAGGCAGCTGGATCCCATATGGCCTACCAAATAGAATGGTCCCAAGCCAGAGTCTTGAGAAATATGCTGGGCATGTGTGCATGCATGCACAAAATTCTGAAAGGAAAGAGAGATGAATTAGTAGGGATTGTGGCATGGACATTCCTCATGGAGATTACTTTCCTCCTTCTCTATTTGCCTCTCTTTCTTTCTGATAAGTTCATGTTCTCTCTACCAATTTTTTTAAAAAAGGAAATAAAAATGCCTGTGTTCTCTTCTAGAAAGCCTTATTGTAATATACTTGATATTTTAAAAGTTGACCATATTTAATAGCTATATGGAGATGAATTTGGACATATGCACAAATTTGTACTTTCATCACCACTATTAAGAAACCAAATCAGAGCGGTCAGGGGCCATGGTGGTTAAGGGTGCTGGACTCCCACACAGCCAACTGTGGTTTGAGTTCTGGCTTGATTTCTCACTTTCTCTCTCTTTCGCTCTTTCTGTCCCTCTTTGGTCAAAATAAAATAAATAATTAAAATAAAGTTAAATAAATAAATTATTTTAAAAAAAAAGAAAAGAAAAAAATAAGAGTAAGAGCGAGATAGAGAGACAGAAAGTGAGAAATCACCCCCCAGGGGGGATGGTCACATCACAATCCCTTCTCCTCCATTCTCCTCTTGGGGTTTTGGGCACACATGTACATGTGCCTGTCATGAGTTTCAAACTAAGACTCCAACTGCTGTTGGTCATATGGGAGTCCAGCAATGTAACCATTCTGCCATCTGCTCGTCCCCCAGGACTAGCTTTTAAGAAGTCCCAAACAAATTTTATTATTCTGAACTTTACCAGTCTATACACTAATTGCCCTTTGGGAAACATCTGGAGTTTTTCTGAGAATATACAATTATCCTTCAATAGTTTCCATGAAGAAATAGAGAGTTCATGTCACTTGAGCAAGAGATGGATACACCCAAAAAGTTATTCTATGGCAGGTGGGAATGTAATTGTTACTGAGATAGATATAAATTGCCCACCTCTAAATTAAATGCACTGCTTATTTCTAATATTGCCTCTCATCTAGCTTCATCTATTTATTAAGAAAGGCCAATTTACAAACAGCACTGGGTATAACCTGTCCCTTGAAGATAAAAATTTGGCACAGTATGATATCCACAACTTTGTGAGATTTTATGATAAAAATTCGACCAGTTGGTTGCTTGTTAAAGTAGGAGAATTTATCTACAGGAGCCCCCATGATCAAGGCTTGGTCTTCAATAAAGTGATGATAAAATGGCCTGCTAGATTCAATAAGGTATGATGCCATCTCAATATTAAATTTATACAGGGGTATCTGAACAGAACCCTGAAATAAATTGTGATTGTTTTAACTCATCATTAAATTTTCTTTTATGTATTGACTTTGTGTGATATAATTTTGCTTATATACCTTATCTAACTATAAAATATAACAAGAACTAATTTTTATTAATAAGATAAATGTGTTCTCAGAAATTCACCTTCAGATAGTTTTCTCATTGTACAAATATCATATATAGCCTGGAGATGGCATTGCCTATTATGCACAGAAATTATATATGGTCTAGCCTATTATTTTATGGGAGCATTGCCATATGTTGACCTGAAACCTTTATGTTTTGCAGACAGTCTGTATTATATGTTACTATACTGTAAACACAATACTTTCATCACCACTATTAAGAAACCAAATCAGAGCGGTCAGGGGCCATGGTGGTTAAGGGTGCTGGACTCCCACACAGCCAACTGTGGTTTGAGTCCTGACTTGATTTCTCACTTTCTCTCTCTCTGTCCCTCTTTGGTCAAAATAAAATAAATAATTAAAATAAAGTTAAATAAATAAATTATTTTAAAAAAAAAGAAAAGAAAAAAATAAGAGTAAGAGCGAGATAAAGAGACAGAAAGTGAGAAATCACCCCCCTGGGATCATGACCACATCACAATCCCTTCTCCTCCATTCTCCTCTTGGGGTTTTGGGCACACATGTACATGTGCCTGTCATGAGTTTCAAACTAAGACTCCAACTGCTGTTGGTCATATGGGAGTCCAGCAATGTAACCATTCTGCCATCTGCTCGTCCCCCAGGACTAGCTTTTAAGAAGTCCCAAACAAATTTTATTATTCTGAACTTTACCAGTCTATACACTAATTGCCCTTTGGGAAACATCTGGAGTTTTTCTGAGAATATACAATTATCCTTCAATAGTTTCCATGAAGAAATAGAGAGTTCATGTCACTTGAGCAAGAGATGGATACACCCAAAAAGTTATTCTATGGCAGGTGGGAATGTAATTGTTACTGAGATAGATATAAATTGCCCACCTCTAAATTAAATGCACTGCTTATTTCTAATATTGCCTCTCATCTAGCTTCATCTATTTATTAAGAAAGGCCAATTTACAAACAGCACTGGGTATAACCTGTCCCTTGAAGATAAAAATTTGGCACAGTATGATATCCACAACTTTGTGAGATTTTATGATAAAAATTCGACCAGTTGGTTGCTTGTTAAAGTAGGAGAATTTATCTACAGGAGCCCCCATGATCAAGGCTTGGTCTTCAATAAAGTGATGATAAAATGGCCTGCTAGATTCAATAAGGTATGATGCCATCTCAATATTAAATTTATACAGGGGTATCTGAACAGAACCCTGAAATAAATTGTGATTGTTTTAACTCATCATTAAATTTTCTTTTATGTATTGACTTTGTGTGATATAATTTTGCTTATATACCTTATCTAACTATAAAATATAACAAGAACTAATTTTTATTAATAAGATAAATGTGTTCTCAGAAATTCACCTTCAGATAGTTTTCTCATTGTACAAATATCATATATAGCCTGGAGATGGCATTGCCTATTATGCACAGAAATTATATATGGTCTAGCCTATTATTTTATGGGAGCATTGCCATATGTTGACCTGAAACCTTTATGTTTTGCAGACAGTCTGTATTATATGTTACTATACTGTAAACACAAGTAGATTATGGATGAAAATACATTCACTGGGCCAGCTCCTGGTGTGAAGGCTAAGGCAGCTGGATCACATATAGGATAACTACACAGTTCCAGTTTTGTACCCAGCATGTGTGTGAGTGTTGCCAAAATTCCAAGAGGAGACTAGAGTAAAATGGATTGTGGTATGGCCATCCCACTAGGGATGGTTTCTCACTTCCTCTCACTCTCTTTGTGTCTTGGTCTCTGGTGAGAGCTCAAGTCCTATAACAAACTAAAAAGAAAAGAAAAAGATGGCATTCATCTCTTGTAAATATCATTCTCATTTCTTCTTGTCCTTTCATATACCTTCTAGTCTTTGAATTTTTTTGGTCTAAGGATCTCAAAGCATTGACCATAATATCAGACAAATGGATTAGAAGGTGATTTCTGTAACAATCATTCTTTATATATGTGTTGGGTTCATAATATCTGAAAGGCAGTGTCTCATGTGAACTCAGAAGCCCAGAAATAGATTAACCACAATCCATGGTTTATAAGTCATTCTCATTATTAATCTTTTGGTCTATAACTTTTAGTGATATGTATACTTATCAGATTAGGGTATTTTTTTCACATTAGTGTTTTTCTTTTTAATTTATAACTAAAGTTTCCTAACCAACCACATATGAGGCAATGATATAAATATACTGAGGAACTCAACTTCTAAGCATCTTTGCAATATAGAAATCTGTATTAAAATGATTTTGGATGAAGAAGTTAACTAAGAGAAAATCCATGGGATAGTTCCAGTCGTGTATGAAATAAAGTAATTAGGTATCTTGGTAATATTTAGTAAACAGCTAATAAAGAGTAAGGCTAATCATATTAAATTATTTACAAGTCAATGTGATAGTGCCTGGCTCCATGGCTTGGTGGTTAAGAAAGTCAGATCTCACATGACTGATTGCAAGTCTGAATTCCAGAACTAGTAGCTTGAGAAACATGCTTGACTTATATGTATGCATGCCCAAAATCCCCAAAGAGAAGAAATGTGGAGAAGTAATAACAGAATGACCATTCCCCATGTGGTATGCATCTTTCCCTCCCTCTCTTAGTTTGGAGTGCCTGCATCCTCTAGCAGAAAAAGAAATTGTCTAGGTAATAAGAACATGGTTAAAATTAAGAAGATAATTACTGTTTGTATGTGTGTGTGTGTGTGTGTGTGTGTGTGTGTGTGTATTTTAAAAATTTTTACCATAAGGCATGTGTACTCACTGGAAAGGGACAGAAAGGGAGAATGATAAATCACCCCCTTGGGTGATGGCCATGTCACAGTCTCTTGTATTTCTTTATCCTCTTGAGACTTTGAGGGTGTGCACACACATGCCTAGCAGTATTCCCAAGCCTTTGTTCCAAGTCTTGAAACATGGAGTTACCCACATGGGATCCAGTGCTTTATCCACCATGTTGTCTGCTGCCCCCAAGTAAAGTTATGTTAAATGAAAAAGCTTTCTCAGAAATACACAGGGATGTAGACATCAAAGCTGTTGATACTGTACATAATTGTGACTAATGATTCTTTTTTGCATTCAGACTCCTGAATCTGTGTGTAGCCAGAGCTGTGGTCCTGGATTCCAGAAAATTCTCCTTGAAAGAAGACCTGACTGTTGTTTTCTTTGTGTTTCCTGCACAGACAGAGCCATTTCAAATCAAACAGGTATGAAATATATAAGTACCTTTTGATAACTCCACTCCCTATATCTCCATAAAAAGGAAGCCAGTAATAGAAATGGAATATAGAGAATCATTATTCTCAATTTGTGTGTTCACATATTGTTTCAATATATTTATTTTATAAACATGATTGCTACACTATTGTGTGTCACCACTTTTCTGATTGTGCTCGTCGTATAAAAGTAAAATTTTAAACTGATTCAAGGTAAAATTTTTTGCATCCAGTGCTATATATAATAGTGTCTACCTTAGATCTCACACTGCAACAGGTTGAAGTCTTCTAAAAAATCATCAACGCTACCTGTGAGTCCCATGAAAGTTTAAAGATGGCTGTCATGGGAACCAGCAGCAGCAAAAGAGACAGACTGAGTTCAAAGGGACCACATCACAGATCTCTTGCTGTATTCTGCCCACTTAAGTGTGTCTCTGACCACCTCCCTCTCTTGACCCTTCACCATTAAAAACTGTGTCTTCCCCATAGTGCAGCAACCAGCAGAAGTACAGAGGTGGAGAGCACAAAGGGACCATGTGTCTAAGACTGCATTTTGTCTGCCCAGGTGTATTTTGAGATTTCAAAGATGGCTGAACTTTGTGATTTCTCCAGTTGAATCTTTCCAGCTCAAATCTTTCCGAGTACCTCAGGTGCACCTGGTTCTGAGAGACTGGGAAAGGAACCAATACCTAAAGCTGGATACATACACACTTCTCTGGTTGGAAGAGAAGGCCCTCTTCTGAGGACACACCTGAGAAGTAGAGCTCATCTTCTCCCCCAATATTATGGAATCAACTCTACACAAAGGTGTAAGATTGGATAATTCATCAGATGACCAAAAAACATCCACAAGCATAGAAATATGAGGAAACAAGAAAATAGCTCCCTCGAAGGAACAATTCATAGATAGCACAAAAGAATTTACAGAAATATCAGAAAAATTATTCAGAATATTCATACTACAAAAACTAGATGAGATGCAAGAGAACAGAGACAATGAGCTCCAGGAGGTGAGGAAGTCCCTTAAAGATTTGGAGGAGGAGATCGATATCATAAGTAAGAATCAAACAGAACTTCTATAGATAAAAATTGTCATAAAGGAAATCAAAACCTTCCTCAAAAGTATGAATAGCAGATTAGACCACAAAAAGATAGTCTTTTATTTGGAAGACAAACCTCTGACTTAAATAAAACACCAAAAATAATGAAAAAAAAAAAACTAAAAAAAAGAGGACAACATAAAGGAAATACTAAGCACTTTAATAGCCCAAATTTCCAAATAATTGGTATTCCAGAAGATGAAGAATCTGATAAGACATAGAAGATCTATTCCATAAAGTACTTGTAGGAAACTCTCTAAATCTAGAGGAACATTCAGACATCTAGACCCAAGAAATACAAAGGACACCAAATATAATCTATGTAAGAAGACCCTCTTTGTGGCACTTCATAGACTGATTGGGCAAAATAAAATATAAGAAAAAGATTATAAAAGTGGCAAGAAGGAAGTGTCAAATTATTTACAAAGGTTATTCTGTTAGGCTAACATCAGACCTCTAAATCAAAATAAAATCGGCAAAGAAAGAATGGAAAGACAGATTCAAAACATTAAAAGAGTAACAGTGAATGAATCTAAAATAAAATAATGACTAAAGAAATGTTTTGAAAGAAAAAAACAATAATAACAATATCAAATGGAATACTATGCCCAACAAAATTATGCTTCAAATGGGAAGAATAACTAAAATAATTCTCATAGAAATAAACACTGAAACAATTCAGCAACATAAACCAGCTTTTTAAGAAGTTCTCAAATGGGACCAGCAGTTGGTGTAACGGCTATGTCGCTGGATTCTCACATAGTCAACCACAGTTCAAGCTTCAGGCCCGTTGGCTTAAACTGATGCTGGGCGCATGTGTGTGTATGCCCAAGATCCTGAGAGGAGAATGGGAGAATGGAGGAGAAGGGATTGTGGCAATGGCCATCCTCCCTGGGAGAGTGATTTTTTGCTTTCTGTTTCTCTCTATCTTTCTGGAGAGTGTAGGCACCCTCGATTAAAAACTTCTCAAAAAAAAAAAAAAAAAAAAAAGAAGTACTGAAAGGAGTAGTGTTTCAGGAAAGTTAAAGACAGATGAAGGAAAAGGAGAGAAAAAAAAAAGAAAATGGACAACAAAATGACAGGGATAAGTCCATAAGTCTTAATAATAACACTGAACATTAAAGAATGAAATTCTCCCTTCAAAAACACAGACAAGCTAAATGGATATAAAAGGGGGAGGGCAATTTAAAGGCTGCTTACAAGAAACACACTTAACAAATAAAGATATCAATAGATTGAAAATGAAGGGTATGAAAATATTTTCCATGCAAATGAAAATTTTAAAAAGGGTGGAGTCGATACTGACATTAGACAAAATAGAGTTTAAGACAAAAACTGCAAGAAGATACAAAGAAGGACACTATATAGTACTAAATGGCTAATTCATCAAGAAGATAAAGACATAGATATCTATGCACTCAACTGTGAAGCACCAAATACATGAAAGTCCACTAGATCTAGTAGACGGCAACACAATAATCATTGTGTATCTCAATACCACACTGTCTTCTTCAGACAGATCATCTAGACAAAAAAATAAACAAAGAGATACAGGATCTAAATGATACCATAACTCAGAGTGGACAGACATCTATAAAACTTTTTGTCCAAAAACATAAAAGATACACTTTTCTGAACCCCACATGGAACATTTGTGAAGTTTGACCACATGATAAGGCATAAAATAAGCCTTTACAAATTCAAAGGCATAGATACTATATCCAGCATCTTTTCTGGCCATGATGGAATTAAACATGAAATTAATTAAACACACACACACGTGAAAACGAAACATCCTAGTCCTATTTTTGAATGACTTCACAAATACTGAAGTTAAGATGGAAATAAAAAGCAATTCATTGAAATTAATTATTATGAGTACATAATTTTTTAAAGAATTCTTTTATTTAACTTTATTTCTTTTTATTTGACCAGAGATTGTGGGAGAGTGAGAAAGAGAGAAAGAGAAAGCAAGCCTCTAGGTCCAGGACTCAAATTGTGGTCACCATATGGGAATCCAGTGCCCTTAACCACCACATCACCTACTGGCCCGATGAATTTTTATAACCTATGGGACATAGTGAGAGCAACTGTAAGAGTGAAGTTCATGAAAATTAGTGCTCACAAGAAAAGAACTGAATGGTGGTAAATAGACAACCTAACAACATACCTCAGGGAATTCCTAAAACAACAACAAAATACCAAGGTAAAATAATATTAAAAATTAGAGCAGAAATAAGTGAAATAGAGAATAAATTAACTAAACAGAAAGTAAATAAAACCAAAAGCTGATGATTTGCAAAGATAAACAAAAGTAGCACAATGTTAGCTAGACTAATTAAGAACAACAGAGAAAGTAACCAAATAAATCTAATCAGCTATGAGACAGACAATATTACAATAGACAAATAAAAAAGATGATTAGACAATACAGTAACAAACAAGTAAATGTGGATGAGATGGATACATTTCTGGACACATATAATCTACCAAGACTGAATCAGGAACGCATAGAAATCCTAAATACACCAATAATAAATAAACTGAATCCATAATAAATATTCTCCAAACAATAAAAAGTCCAGGTCCCAATGGTTTTACTTGTGAAGTCTATGTAACGTTTAAAGAGCTAAATCCAATTCTACTCAAATTATTTCTGCTTTTTTTTTTTTTTGGAGAGCTTTTTGCTATAGGGTGTGTGTGCTCGCCAGGCAGACAGAGAGAGACATAGAGAAAGAAAGCAAGAAATCCCCCCCAGGGGAGATGATCACGGCACAATCCCTTCTCCTCCATTCTCCTCCCAGGATCTTGGGCATGCACGCACGCACACGCGCCTGGCGTGAGTTTTAAGCCACCGGGTCCGGGACGCGAACCGCGGTCAACTACGTGGGAGTCCAGCGACACAGCCATTACGCTAAATGCTGGCTCCCATACTCAAATTATTTCTAAAGATCCAAAGGAAAGAACTCTCACAAATTTATTATATGAAGCCTCCATCACCCTTCTCCCCAAAATAAACAAGGACATAAATACATAAAACTACAGACTAATATCTCTGATGAATATAGGTGTAAAAATTTTCAAGACATTAGCAAACCATATCCATTAACACATTAAAGAGATTATACACCACAACCAGGTAGGCTTTACCCAGGATTGCAAGGGTGGTCCATCACATACAAAACCATAAATGTAAGAAATCATATTAACAGAAAGATAAAAATTATATTTTTATATCAATCACTGCAGAGAAAGCATTTCATATAGTACGACATCCTTTCAGGTAAAGACCCTAGGCAAAATTGGTATACAAAGGAAATTTGTCAATGAAAGCCATCTATGAAAAATGTATAGCTGACACCATACTGAATGGGAAAACACTGTAAGCTTTTCCACTAAAAACTGAAAAAAGACAGGGATACTTCCATTTTCATCTCCTTTTCACTATAATACTAAAATCCCTAGCCAATGCAATCTTTAAATATAATAAAATAAAAGCCATTCAAACAGGGGAAAAAGAAGAAAAATTATCTCTATTTACAGATAACATAATTATATACATAGAAAACAAAAAGCATCCTAAAAAGAACACAACAAGAAAAAACAACTCCTGGAATTGATAAATCAATGTAGTAAAGTGGCAGGATACAATATCAACATTTAAAAAACTGAGGTATTTTTATTTATTTTATTTATTTTTTTGAGAGATTCTTGTTATGAGGCAAGAACACTTGCCAGACAGAAAGAGAAATGGAAAGTGAAAAATCACTCCTCCAGTGGTGATGTCCATTCCACAGTCCTTTCTCTTCCACTCTCCTCTTGGGATTTTGGGCACACATGTACATGTACCTGACATGGCTTTCAAGATGCCAGGTCCAGAACTTGAACCAAAATTGGCCAGATGAGAGTCCAGCTACATAACTATTATGCCATCTGCTGATCCCATCTACAGCATTTCAATATGCCAACAATGAGCAGACAAGGTAGAATTGAAGAAAGCAATCTCATTTACAATAGCCACTAAGGATACTAAAATACCCAGGAATAAAACTAACCAAAGAAGTCAAAAACCTCTACAAGGATAACTTTAGAAAACTAAAAAGAGAAATGGAAAAATGACAAAATAAGATGGAAAGTCATCTCATGTCCTTAAATTAAAAGAACTAATATAATCTAAAATGCAAATTTTGCCTGAAATAATTAAAGAATTTAATGCAATCTCCATTAGAATATCAGAGCTGTCTTCACACAATTAGAAAAAAAAATCATAAAATTTGTCTGGAATGATAAAAATGCCCTGTATTGCCAAAGTAATACTCTAAAAAGAATAAAGTAGGAGGCGTCTCACTTTTAAGCCCCAAAATATATTACATAGCTGTGATCATTAAAACCGTTTAATACTTGCACAAAATCAAGTATGTAGATCAATGGAATGGAATAGAGAACCCAGAAATTTACCTCAACACATAAAGATAACTGTTTTTTGATAAAGGGCACAAGAGAATCCAGTGCAGAAAAAAAAAAAAATCTCTTGAACAAATGGTGCTGGATATCCACTAGCAGGAAAAAGTAAATGGAATGCTATCTCTCACCATTAACCAAAATCAACTCAAAATGGATCAAGGGTCTAAGTATAAAACCTCAAACTATAAAATTACTTGTGGAAAACACAGAGGAATGTCTTGGAGACATCAGAAGAGGCAAAGACTTGTTAAATGAAACCCCCAAAGCATAGGCAATAATCTCAAAAAGTGGGATTACATCAGTTTAAAAAGGTTTTGCATAGCAAAAGGAACAATAATTAGAATGAAGAGACAAACCTTGGAAGGGGAGATTATATTTGAAAAATATACTTCAGATAAGGGAACAATAACCAAAATATACAAAAACTCAGGCAGCTTACACCCCAAAATTTTTCAATCAAATTAAAAGATTAGCAAATGAGCCTAAAAGGGAAATCTCCGAGGAAGCATACACACAGACAAGAAGCATTTAAAAATTGTTCAACATCTCTATCATAAGGGAGTTGCAAATCAAAACAACAATGACATACCACCTAACCCCAATTAGAAAGTTTGAGAATAGAAAAATAATGATAAGTGTTGGCAGGCAGTGGTGAAAATGGTACTTTTCTACCCTGTTGATCAGAGTGTAAACTAGTAAAGCCACCGTAGAGAACAATATGGAAGTTTTACAAAGACCTACAAATAGAACTACTACGATCCAGCAATTTCACTTTTTGGTGTCTAGTCAAAGAACAGAAATACACTCAGATGGAAAAAAATTGCATATCCATGTTTATTTGTAGTATTATTCATAATTGCTAAGACATGGAATCAATCCAAATGTCCAAGAACTGATGAATGGATTTAAAAAGTGTGGCACATAGACACTGTGGAATACTATTCAATCATACAGAAACAATGAGACCCTGGCATTTGTTAGAAAGTCCATGAATATAGAAGATTTAATGCTAAGTGAAGCAAGCATATCTACCAAATGTCTACACACTATGGCAGAAACTGAAAGATATAAAAGAATGGAGAGCAAGTGTGGATAGTAGAGACTGTGGGAGGAGGGTGACAAAACAAGTGTGCAGGAAGGAATTGATGGAATAAAAGGAAGCAAAACAATTGACTGATTCAAAAAATGGAAAATTATCTGTTGATGATAATGTGTATGGTAATATCTTTGACTGAACTAACAGTGTATTCTTGTTTGAAAAATTTATTTTGTATGCTGCAAAGATATACAGCAATTTAAAGTTTAAAATAATAAGAAAAACAAGAAAACTTTATGGAATAATGGAATAAAAGTATGAGTTTATTCTGATGCAAAAAAAGTTTAAAAAATGACACTGGTATATCTCTAGATGACAAGCACAAAGTATGTATGAATACATTATTTTAAGATAGTTAATAACTTTTTCAACCATGCTCAAAAACGTGTTCAATGTGGTAAAATTAATTAATATCAGAACCTACAATTCAAAATATCTTGTTATAGTAAGGAAATTCTGCATAATTAAAAAAATTGAACACACAACATTCTAATAAATTCCAAAACCATGAATAATAGCTGTTATATAAAATAAAATTCAAAAATTATATATTAAAACAAAAAGTAATGTCAGATATGAAATGTGAACATTTTCATTAAGTCATGCTTCCATTTTCTAATACATAAAAAATAAATATTATAATATATTGAATTCATTCACTGAATGCAATTGAGTCATTATATCAGTAGAAATCATTTTATTTTAATGACTAGTAAGAGTCCATAGATACTTTCAGGTAAGAATAAGTCAAGAAAATATTTGTTATCCTTATGAAGCCTTTGCAACAGTGAAGTGTGTAACATAGAAATAAAAAATAGAGAGACACACTTTGGGACCCAGAAGAATACATTCACCTGTTTTTGTGTGCCATGACTCTGAGACAGAAAGCAGAAATTGGAATAATTCAAGAAGAATGTGATAAACAATCACTGTTTAAATTTGGCGTATATAATAATATTTCATCAATATTACCTTAAAAAACTTTAATAAAGGAGTGGGTAAGCTGCTATCATTTCTTTTAATGAAATGTAATTGACACACAGACCTGCTAATTATTCTCAGATGCGCTATGACTGCTTTCATGCTATATCAAAAGAGAAGTGAATAGTTGCAACAGAGACTCTACAATGTGCAAGGCTAAAAATATTACCTATCACTTAAAAAATGGGTTAATGAACCATGGTTGAAGATGAAAATAAATAGAAGTTTTAAAAATATATACTCCATATTTTAGTAATATAATAATAATTTCATAGAAATTAATTATATAGGTTCAATAAAATTTTATTTAAAATCAAAATGTTTTCAGTTCAATCTAAGTTTTCAAATTTTACATGGAGAAATTCACAAGAACAGTGATGACAAAATTCAGTACAATGAGAAAAGTCTTGTGTTACTAAGTGATGTGTTATATACAAAAAAAAATAGTTGTGACAAAAGTTAGAGTATTCAGAACTAGGTACATTTTTTTTCTGAATAAAAATAAGGAAACTTTAATTTCCATTTTTATATTTTATATATTTTATTGTATTTTAATTTATTTTATATATTCAATCACTATATATCCCTTAGCTTGTAAAGTAAATTTTTCAACATGAAAACACTTCACACCAGTTCAGTCGGGGATACTACATACCTTATTGTCAATAGATAATAACCAATTTTTCTTTCTTTCTTTCTTTCTTTCTTTCTTTCTTTCTTTCTTTCTTTCTTTCTCTCTCTCTCTCTTTCTTCCTTCCTTCCTCTTCTTTCTAGCTTTCTTCTTTCTTTCTTTCTTTCTTTCTTTCTTTCTTTCTTTCTTTCTTTCTTTCTTTCTTTCTTTCTTTCTTTTCTTTCTCTTTTTTTCTTTCTTTCTTTTCTTCTGTCCTTTCTCTTTCTTTCCTTCTTTCTTCCTTTCTTTCTTTTTTTTTTCTGCTATAGGCCATGTGCACTCACCAGAGACAGAGAGAGAGACAGAGAAACAGAAAGTGAGAAATTACCTTCTCAAGGGGCGACCATGCCACTATTCTTCTCCAATATATTTTCTGGTTTGGGGGCATGCTGCCATATGCATCAAACATAATTTTCAAGCCACTGGCTTTAAGACTTGAACCACAACGTTGGTCATGTGGGGTTCAACTTTCTAAATATTCAAGCCACCTGTTGGTCCAGAAAACCATTAATTTCTCTTGTATTAAGGCAATATTAAAACCCATGCTACTTAAAGACTTATCATGAGGAAAACTCAGGAGAGAAAAGAAAATAGATCTGGAATAAATTAACCTTCTTGGTAACATCATTGAGCTACAAGGTGAACCAATAAAAATTCTCAAATGCTGACATCCACTTTCAATGGGTTAAATGTTACCTGCAGCTAAAAAAATTCTCTTAGTGTGAATATTTTATACAGTGTGAGAAGAGGGTAGGAGAAGGAGAAGAGTGTGAGAAAAGACATCAAGGAGAGAAATAGAGAGGCAAGACATTCATTGATCAGATGCAGAAATGGATTACTATTTATTGATGATAATGTGTATAGTATCCTCAACTGGACTTGTGTGAAGTGTTTGTGTTGGAAAAATTCACTTTACAAGCTAAGTGACATATAGTGATTAAATGCATAGAAGAAACTAAATTAAAATAAAATAAACTTAAAAAAGAAAAATAAAAATCATTTTTCAAAAAAGGAACACAAAAAGCAATAAATAGATAAATCTGTGATAAGAAGTCTTAGGAGGTATGATACCTACATAATGATAGTGAAACTTCCATTCAAAATTGTACATTTGTTAAATTGCAGATTACTTCTTAATAACTTATTGTTTAAAATACATCAAATATTTTTAAATAATAAAACTTGATGAAGAAACAACAACAAAAGAATCCACTTAGAGTCATCAATATTTTCATTTTGCTTGTTTGCTTTAGAGGTTTTTGCTTTAGGGTGTGTGCACTCTCTTGATAGAAACAGTGAGCAGGATAATGAGAAATCATCCTCTGGGGGATGGTCGCTAAGTAATTCTTTCTCCATTATCCTTCTGGGATCTCAAGCACACAGCACATGTGCCCATCATGATTTTCAAGCCACCAGGTCTGAGACTTGAACAGTATTTAGCCATGTGGGAATCAAGCAATGTAACCACTATGTCATTTGCTGACACCAATGTAGACTCTTAATTGGTGTATGTCAGTATCACTTTGGGGGCTGTCTGTATGCAAAAATGACACAAACAATACTATTTACTTCAATAACACACAGAGATAAAATAATTTTGACACTGAAATATTGGTTTTTGCTTTTCTACCAGATGCAGAGCAGTGTATCAAATGTGCAACTCAGGAGTATCCAAACAGTGAGCGAACACGCTGTCTCCCCAAGTCTGAAACTTTCCTGGCTTTTACAGATTCTTTGGGGATGTCCATGGCCTGCATAACTCTGTGTTTTTCTGTGGTCACAGCTATGGTTTTAGTGGTCTTTGTGAAGCACCGACATACTCCCATAGTCAAGGCCAATAACCAGGTTCTCAGCTTCATCCTGCTCATCTCCCTCATCTTGTGCTTCCTCTGCCCTTTGCTCTTCATCAGCCATCCTAACACAACCACCTGCATCCTCCAGCAAGTCACATTTGGGTCTGTGTTCACTGTGGCAGTTTCCACTGTTTTGGCCAAAACCATTACTGTGATTCTGGCATTCAAGGCCATGAAGCCTGGAAGAGCAATGAGGCATTTGCTGCTATCAGGGGCTTCTAATACTGCCATTCCCATCTGCTCTCTTCTCCAAGTGATTATCTTTGCAGTCTGGCTGGGAACCTCTCCCCCTTTCATTGAAATAGACTCACACTCTGAGCCCAGACACATCATCATCATGTGCAACAAGGGCTCCATCACTGCCTTCTACTGTGTCCTGGGATACCTGGGCTTCTTAGCCATAGGCACTTTCACTGTGGCTTTCCTGGCCAGGAACCTGCCTGACACATTCAATGAAGCCAAGTTCCTCACATTCAGCATGTTGGTGTTCTGCAGTGTCTGGATCACATTCCTCCCTGTCTATCACGGCACCAAGGGGAAATTCATGGTGGCTGTGGAGGTCTTCTCCATCTTTGCCTCCAGTGTGGGACTCTTAGGTTGCATCTTTGTTCCCAAGTGCTGCATTATTTTGCTAAGACCTGGTAAGAACTGCTTGGAAAGTTTAAAAAACAGAAACGTTTCCAGAGGAAATGGATTCTACAGTTTTATCTCATAGATCTGTATCACATTTTTAGGGGTTTGAGTGAAAAATACTCAAAAGTTTAATTCTATTGTAAAGTAATAGAAAATGGTTCATGGACCAGCTGGTGATGTGGTGGTTAAGGTGGCTCTATCCATATGACTAATTGTATGGTTCATGTCCCAGACCCAGCAGTTTGGAAAACATGCCAAGTGCATACTTGGCCAAAATACTAAGAGAAGAATGGGGAAGGGATTACAGTGTGACCATCCCCTGAGGGAGTGCTTCTTCGCTTTCTATCTTTCTCTTTTTCTCTCCAGGCAGTACATACAACCTATAGAAAATTTTAAAATTGAAAGACAATAACTTGTCTTTGTTTTTTTTTTTTTTTGAAATAGGAATTATGTGAAACTAAACTTAGCCAGCTATTAAAATTGCATTCAACTTACAATCAAAGTGATATGTAGTGAGTAAATGTATAAAATTTAAATTTAAAAAGTGCAAAGAACAGTACTATCTCAGAATAATGCCTTTTTCTGACATTTTGGTTACTGAGCAATTACTAGAGTTTATTAGTTATTTATTATCCATTGAATTATCCTATACTCTTTTTATTTCTGTATGGTCAATAATAATGTCTTCACTTACATACCAATGTATTGACTTGTACCTTCTATTAATTTTCTAAAATAGCCTGTCTTGAGTTTTGTTAGTTCGTTGATCTCATAAAATAAGCAATTTTGGTCTGTATGTTTTTAATGTCTCTTATTTTTATTTATAACCATTCTAATCTTAATATCTTTATTCTTGCAGCTTTTATTTACTTTGCTTTCATTTTTGTAGTTCCATGATGTGTGATGTAGTATGGATTTGATATCTTTCATCTCATTTTTAGAAAACTAGATTAAAAGTTAAATATTTTTCAAAGCACAGTTTCTGCAGCACTCCAAATTTTTGATGTTATGTTTCCAAAATTGACTCAGGTATTTCTAGCAGTAAAAATATGAAATATTATTATTCATGTAAAAATATGTAGAATACATATAAAGCCTTTTTTTTTTGCCTGACCAATATATCCAGATAATTTGCCCTCCTCTGTAACTGCAATACCCCTGATTAAAGGTACTAGAATTTTCTAACTACAAATGAGAAAAGTGAAGATTACTTACATTCATAAGGTTCATTAATACTAGACCCCTGACTTAGCCTCCATGGCACAGGTACTATGGGAATTGCTGCACAATTCTGGAAGCCATATGGGAAGGTTTTGGGTTTGTTTCCAGGATATACCTGAACATATAGGTGCATGCATAATCTTGAATGGCTACAGGGAAAAGGGAGAATTTCAGTGTGATAACTCTAGGAAGGGTGTCACAGATCCAGCTCCAGGTCTCTGGCGAAATCTGACTTTTTCTTTATTTCTCTGTGCTGTCTTTTTTTTTTTTTCATCTATTATTCTCTCCTCTTCATCTTCCACCCTGTCAGAGGGACTAGACAGGTCTATAATCAGATATCTGAAATCCCCTAGTAATGTAAGTTTCTCTAGGATTCTCCCTTGTACTGATCCACCTGTGATAAAGGATATACTGCCTTTCAGACACCTCAGTAGAGTACCCCTCTTGAGACCAAGTTCAGAAATACAACAAAAGAGAGACTTCGGCAAACATCAATTTGCAGCAAAAGGGAAACACACTTATTCCTAGTCAGAGAAACATTCCCATAAGAGGTATTCAAAATCTGGTGTAATGGCTATGTCACTGGACTCCCATGTAGTCGACCGCGGTTTGTGTCCTGGACCCAGTGGCTTAAAACTTAAAACCGTGCTGGGTACATGTGTGTGTGTGCCCAAGATCCCGAGAGGAGAATGGAGGAGAAGGGATTGCAGTGTGGCCATCCCCCTAGGGGGTGATTTCTCACTTTCTGTCTCTCTGTCTCTCTCTCTCTGGTGAGTGCACGCACCCTATAGCAAAAACCTCTCAAAAAAAAAAAAAGTGAATACATCTTCCCATAGCTAGAAGTAGAAGAAGAGCCTCAGGTCTGAATAAACAGTAAAATATGTCTCCACCAAAGGAAAAGGGTTACTCCCATCTATCTCTCATAAATATGGAGGATGTTACCAAAATGTCAGACAAAGAATTTCAAACCTTCATGATGACTAAACTCTGTGAGTTGGAACACAAAAGAGACAACGAACTATAGGAGATTAGGAAGTCTGTCCAGGATATGAAAGAAGAAATGGACACTCTGAGAAAGATCAGATGGAACTATTAGAGATAAAGTCTGTAATACAGGAAATCAAAAACTCTCTTGAAAGTATTAAAAGTCGATTAGACCATGAAGATTGAATCTCTGATGTAGAAGATAAAACATCTGACCTAGAAAAAAAAAACACCAAAAAGATAGAGAAAATAACAACAACAACAAAAAAAACCCCATAAGAATAATAAACGAGAAATACTAGACTCCATTAGATGCCCAAATATCAGAATAATTGGCATCCCAAGAGGTAAAAAAAAAACTAATAAGAGCATGGAAAACCTATTCCATAAAATCCTGTAAGAAAATTTCCCATCTAGAGAGGCACTCAAACATCCAGACCCAAGAAATACAAAAGACCCCAGTTAAAATCAACCCCAGAAGATTTTCCCCAAGGCACATCTTAGCCAGACTGTCTAAGACCACAGATAAAGACATGATACTAAAACTGCCAAGATAGAAATGAGAAGTGACTCACAAAGGCCATCCCATCAGGCTAACACTGGACCTCTCAATGGAAACAATACAAGCAAGGAAAGAATGGGAAGACATATTTAAAGTTTTAAGAGAGAAACAATTTCAACCAGGACTATTATATCCTACAAGATTATCCTTCATATGGAAAAAAGATTAAAATCTTCTTAGACAAACAAAACCTGAAAGAATTTGCCAACACCAGACCAGCTCTTCAAGAAACCCTGAAGAAAGTACTGTTCCAGGAACACTAAAGAATTAACAGCCAGAAACAAAGAAATAATAGGCAACTAAGACAATACTGTAATACTGTTCAAATAAAAACCTACAAAGCTACTAGAAGAGAACAGGAAAAATAATTCAAGATATGGGTCTGTGCAGTTTTGTTGGGTAAGTCATCAAAATCAGAAGTCATAAAAGCAAATATAGACAAATGAGATTATATCAAACTGAAATAATTCTACAACATAAATAAAACAATTAACAGTGTATAGAAGCAACATGCAGAATAGGCAAAAAAAAATTTCATTTAATGTTCAGATTAATGTTCTGAGTATATAACAAACTCAATCCAAAACCAAAATACATACAGACATAACCTGATTACAAAATAAACTGAGGACATGAAGCTACATTTCTCAAAAAAACACATATGAATGGCCAAGTATGTGAAAAATGGCTCAATATCACTAATTGCCAGGGACATGTAAATCAACACCATCACAAAGTCTCAATGGCTATTTTCTAAAAGATAAAAGTTAACAAATGTGGGGCAATATGATGAGGCAGCAATAAAATACGACATTTTGCAAGGCTAACCCCATGGGAAAGTTTGAGTTCCTATCTGGAGATCCCCGTAAGTGTGCCTGGCGTGCACATGCCCATAACCTTGGATGGGCTGAAGCTGTGGGGTGAATAAAGGTGTTGAGCCTTGCTGGGAGCACCTTTAAAAAAAAATCTGTCTGTCTCTTTTTTTATGGAAAGAATAAATAAACTTAATTTAAAAAAAAAAAAAAACATAAATGGCTGGCCCCATAACTTAACATCTCACATGGTTAACTATGCTTCAAATCACAGCATTGGAGGCTTGGAAAACATGCCAGGCAGAGTTAGCTCATGGCATGGTGGCTAAGGGGGCTGGATCCCACATGGATTATGTTGAGTGTGTGTGAATGCATGACCATATTTTAAGAGGTGAATAACGGAGAAAGGGTTATTATCCATTCCCCCTGGCAAGTGCTTTCTCTCTTTCTCTCTCTCTGTAACTGTCCCTGTTCAGTGAGTGCACAGATCTTAAAGCAAATTACAAAAGGAAATAAAATAGTGTGTGAAATATATCTTAAAAAAATATAAAACATTATCATTTTAAAAATCATGCCAGGCACATACATATCCATACCAAAAACCCTGATGGGATGGGAGTAATGGAGAATGTATTGCAGCATAACCATACCCCATTAAAGGTAATTTTTCCCCTCTCTCTGGTGAGGACACATACTCTCTGGCTATTAAAAAAATAAATGAAAAACATAACAATAAAAAATGCTTGTGAGGATGTGCATTAAAAACTCCCTGAGGTACTTTTGGTAAAAAAATAAAATAAATAAATTAGTAAAGCCATTATACAAAACGCTATAAGGGGGACCAGCAGTTAGCATAATGGCTATGTCATTGAACTCTCATGTAGCCAACTGTGGTTCGAGTCCCAGACACGGTGGATTAAACTCATGCTGGGCGCGTGTACACGGGTGCCCAAGATCCTGAGAGGCGAAGGGATTGCAGCATGGCCTTCTCCTTTAGTGGGTGATTTCTTGCTTTCTATCTCTCTATCTCTCTCTGTCTTTCTGGCTAGTGCATGTGCCCTATAGCAAAAACCTCTCAAAAACAAACAAACAAAAAAGTGCTATAAAGGGCCAGAAGGTGGCATGGAGGTTAAGGTGGTGGATTTCATGTGATCAACTCCTTAGTTTGAATCCTTGAAGTGGTGCCTTGAGAACATGCTGATAACACATGTGTGCATGTGTGTTCCCAAAATCCCAGGAGATTGGAGAAGGGATTGTAGTTTCACCATCTCACCTGAGTGGTAATTTCTCACTTTCCCTCTCCATGAATTTCTATCTCCAGTGAGCATTTGAACTCTATAGTATATTAACGACAACAACAAAAAAAGCAAACAATGTGGAAATTTATCTAAAAACTAAAATATGATCTAGAAAGCCACTACAAGGCATATTTCAAAAGGGAATCAGTATGTCGAAAAGATGTCTTCAGTCTCATGTAGACTTCAATTTTATTGAATTAGTCCA